GCAATATATTGAAACCAAATGTATCCTATATTAATCGAATTTATATGCAAGCTAATATTGTCGCAGAGTTTCAGAGGAGAGGAATACTACAGCCCTCTTGGAACGCAGTCCACGTAAATAAAGTCTAGCTACGAATATTCGATTTGTGAATTTAAATGTTAAGTTTGTCGGAACGTCTAATTTTGAAATAAGTTTAAAAATGTTCCAAAAGTGGATTATGAATACATTCAAATACTACAGCTTATGGGGTTTCCATTCAATGCCTTCGATGCAATTTGGTGGAAAATTTGTTAAATACCTAATATTTCTAATTCATTTCACTATATGCATTTGTTATTCGTTTACCGTATTAAAAGGTGCATACGAACTGCAACCGTTCATGGATTTTTTGGATTTTTTCAATATTTTTGTATATAATATAACTTGTATTTCATCATTTTGGCTGATAATCTACGATTCACATGCAAATCAAAATGCTCAAAATGAATTTGGTCGGATTTTTGTTGAAGTCGATGCAAATAATTTTCTTAAAACGAACGCCTTCAAATTGAACCATTTGATTCCATTAAGTTTACTATCAATTGGCGATTATTTAATGATATTTTTATATATTATCAACGGTGAATGGTTTGTTGGGCAAATTGTTTATTCTTTATTTCTTTCTATTACCAATAATCGCGTATTCTTCTATGTCATACAATGATTTTTAGATAGGATAGATGCGAAAGATCTCCGCAAGATCCAGATCCAAGCGTGCGTACGCTGCCGCATGATGCATACATATATAATACGCAATCAAATTCGTTATTCTTATTTCTCCTTCTTTGATTCGCATGCCATAGCATTACCATATCATGCGGCTACGTACGCTTGGATCCGGATCTTGCGGAGATCTTACGGATCTATTCTATCCAAAAATCATTGTATGTTCTATGTACTTCATTTGAAAGTGGTTGCAATTCAATTGCAAAGCATTGAATGTAAATTGAAAACTATGCAAAATCAAATGAAACAATTGAAATGGGTTCAGAAATACTTAAATTCAACTCACGAATTATGCAATAATATCAATAAAATATTTGGTTTATCGCATTTGGCAATGACCATCGTAAGTTTACAATGTACAATAACGATGTTGAATTCCGCTTTTCGTTCGACCCAAAAGAGGTATGTGTTTTTAAATTACGGTAAGTTCACAAGAAAATGGTTCAAAAGAAAACAAAAAAAAATGACTGACATTTTAAAAATATGTTTCCAGAATTATTGATAATAGCGGGATATCTTTTGTATATACGTATTATGTCTCACTTATATTATGTTAATAAATATTTAAACGTTTGCTACGATTTGGTAAGTTATCAAAAAACTTTGATTATGTATCTTCTACAAAGGACTATTTTATCTTTATGTTTTGCAGGCGGAAGCGATACTCTATCAATTGCTTAATATTTATAATTACACATCAAACGAAGAGATAAGTCGACAGGCAAGCCATTTAATGCAAATAGTTTTACATTCTTATAGTTCATTATTTTCTTTAGGTAGAGGCAATTGTGATGCAAGTAAATCACAATCCCATTTCGTTTCATATCAAAGGAATATTCACGCTTGATACTTTAACTTTTCTAAAAGTAAGACTGCATTTATGCAATATTATTGAAGAAAAAAAAATGAACATAATGAACTATTTTTTCCCAAATGTAATAGCTTAATGGAACAGTCGTTGTTTGTGTTGTATTGTTCATTCAATTCACGCAAATGTATTATTAACTTTTAATTTTGTTCTCTGCATTTTCTCAGAGGATATGCCAGACCATCAATTCTAATAGCATGGATAATAATTTGATTTTAGTGGAATCTTCACAAAATGCACGAGAAAGATGGCAAAAAGTCAATTAAATATAAGACATTTTGGTCAAACACTTTTTATAAAATAGAATTGAAATTTATTTATCTTAAAAAGTGGAGTTGTGTTACATTAAAAGATATTCATTGTAATGTGTTTACTTTCAAGATTTTATGCCACACACTCTCCAGCGACTCTATTCCAATCTCGGCGTGACTATACAACAGAGAAAATAAAAAATAAATAAATCCATTAGGTAGTTGTTAGTTCGAAAATTGATTTAACTCACGTCAATATATTTCAAATCATTGTACAAATTTCGAACTTCTCCTGTGCCGTAATAGTAAGAGTCGTTGTAGCATTGCCTAATTGATTTGAAAGAGTGAAATTCATTGGTTTTAATATTGGATTTAAAAACGTGAAATTGGTTTCAATTGATTACATACGCCTGAGCAGCGCTGCCAAGACTTTTACAAGTTTGAACGTAAGTATCCCATTGCTGTTCAACTGATCCTAACCTTCTGAACCATGATCTAAAGCGGTCATCACCATAGCGTTCTGTGTTTAATAAAATTATCAATATAAAAATTGAATGTGAAAATCTTAAAATGTTTTACCTCAAGACATAGAAGATTGCCGGATTGCTGGTTATGTCCCAATGCAATTGCAAAAATTGAACACAAAACAATAATGAACTTCATTTTGAATTGAATTCGTTTCCAATCACGACTACTGAACGATGATTTCAAAAAGCTGCTTTGCGCGGACTTTTATTTGTCCGTAAGTCGTTTATTATCGCTGGGAGGAAGTACCTCTCACTTTGCCATAAACTAATTGAAGCGGTTGGAGAATTATCAGTAGATGTATTACTTAAGTTAATCACTGTTATAAAGTGAAATTATTATTTCCCATAATTTTTTTCCCACAAAATATGAATACAGAGATGTGATAAAATCTGAACAAACATATATGCCATTGAATAGTAAGTGCGATATTTTTATCAAAGTTGAGAAGGCATTGCCATATAAAATATAATACCCACGCGAAATGTATAACGAGAACTGTTGTAAGGAATTAATATTATCAATAATCTCCTAAAAGAACCCACTCTCTCTAATTAGCCTGGAAACGATTTAAATTTCAATTCATTAACCTGGATTAAAAAAAAAAATTTCTATGATTACATTTCAAGATAAAACCAATTTCCTTATTTTATGATTGAAATCGTACATTTTTCATTACTCCCAGATATAAGTTCTATAAACTAATTCAATTTCCGAGTGTTTAGTATTTTTTTGACATCAAATTAAAACCATGTTTCCAAAATGGATAAAATACATTTTGCAATACTTTGCTTTGTACAGTTTTCACACAATTTCCATTCGAAGAAAATATATCCACACCATTATATTATCCGTTCACATTTTTCTGGCTTCTTGGTGTTCGTTCATCGCCATTGGATCGTTTTTTGAATTGATGCATCTCATGGAACAATTAGATGTGTTAAATTTTATACTATGTTATTTCAATTACTCTCTAACATACTGGTTGGTAATATATGAATCATATAGACATCGTGCTGACGTTCACAATTTTTGGCAATTTTTTTTTCGAATTTCTGAATCGCAATTCAGCCAGATGCATTTTGATAAATGGAACTATTTTTTTTTATTAATTTTTATTCAAACTGCAGACATCCTCTTCACAATATACTCTTTATTCAATGAACGCACAACAAGCGAAGTGCAAAAATTTATGTATTTTATATTTATAAATATTTCCATAAATCGCTTATTTTTTTACTTACTGCATTTGTACGTGGTTGAGTTTCACTTACAGACCATAGTAAGTGAAATGCGAAAAGTTAAAAAGTCATACAATTCAAATGTTGAAAATATGAAAAAGCAATTCAAATGGATACGAAATTATTATGGCCTCATTTGCGAAATGACAAGACTTATTAATTCGATGTTTGGCTGGTCAGAGTTGGCATTCATCCTAATGAATTGCCACTCATCCATAACATTCTTGAATTTCTTTTATCGCCAAGTTTGTAAGAAATTTGTCGGTTTCAATAATGGTAAATAGATAATTTTTTCGGAATATAGCGAATTTGGACGAAATTCGTGTGTAATGAAATGTGTGTATTCCTTTTTTTTAGATGTTTTTCTTATAGCAACATTTTTTTTCGTCACTCGTAATGCTGTGAGTCTCTTTTGTTTGAATAAGATTGCCAATGACTGCTATGATTTGGTGAGCGAAAAAAGAATTCATAAAGAAAATATCTACTATAATAAAATGTTTATAAAATAGGATGAGTCGATAAACATGGAGCTATTTAATATTTGTACAAGCATTTCAAATAAAGATATAAATCGAGAGGTAAAATCGAAGGGTACTGGTGTTTATGACATGGTTGTACCTAATAAGTTCTAGTTTTGTTCAGTTTTCTTTATTTTCCTACCCTAGCCCCTAGTAAATTACAAAATTAAATTAGAAAATATCTATTAAAAGTCAATTATTATTTTTCATTTGCAGATCCATGTAGCCGCTCATCAAATAAATTACCGTCCAATTTGTTTTGATGTTAAAGGCCTTTTCATCATTGAAACTCGCACTTTTATTCGTGTATGTTTTGAGTAAATGGTTTTTGAGTAAAATGTTACATTTTAAATGATTTTTTTTTTTATAATTCCATTTTGATAGCTTATGGGGATCATAATTACTTATGTGGCACTCTTCGTCCAATTTTCTCAAATGGAATGATAATAACTTCAAAATAAAAAGACGAAACTGTATTTTTTGATACATCAAGCCAACCAATTTATTTAAATTTTAAAATCTATCTCGCTGCGACAAACATGATTTTATTTCATTTTGACGTTATCATTCATCAAAAAAGTGCCCTAAAAACAAAACACAATGTTTATATGTATTAACATTCAGAAATATTCTTCTTTTCTTTTCAAAGTTTGTGTTCGGTGAAATTCTTCAGATAAAATAACGAACATCTGGTCCAATATTTGAACTTCTTATTATATCAAAAATAGCGCTTTAACCACTTTCTTTTCGTTTCTCAACTAATAAAAAAGAAGAAACCCATTTAATCAAGAAAGCATTAAAAATTATTATTTTGAAAGAAAAAAATAAAACATTTTCTGATGAACATTTGTGAGCATTTATTTCGTATATAAACAAGTGCTATAATGCTTAGGTTATATAATGATCATTTTTCTCTTTGAAATTATTGGTTCAACTAATTTTGTCAGCAAATGTAACTTAAAGAGACTTTTAAAACCTTTTTTTTTACAATTTCAAACTGTTCAAAATGTCGATAAGTGAATCAACGTGTGTTGCAGATGGTAAATGGATTGAATCCAATTTTCCAACAACATATTCTGCCCATGAGCTACGTTGTGCATTATATTCGCTCAAAATTGTCATTACAATATTAAGATGTTTAACCAATTTAGTTTGGTTTTCAGTGACTGTGGACAATTTTAAACGTGCTTCCTCGACAATTTTTTGTGCGGCTTCAGAGTTGGTTCCATGAAGTTTATCGAATACTGCGTTAGCTGAAACGATGCCCTGTTCAATGTTCGATCTTAAATTCTGAGCCTCGGTCATTTCTTTGTCGAATGCAGCATGCAATTGATTGTAGTATGCTTGCATAGCATCAATGCCACCTGCAGCCTTTTTCAAATGATCTGCTTTGGTATTTTTGTCCGTGACCCAATGACTGAATGCTTTCTTAAATTCTTCATTGTGTGGTTTGAATGCAAGAGCGGAGGCAACTTTGTAATTCAATTTTTCAATTGAGATTTGTTCGTTATTAGCCCAATCGATTATACTGTGAATCAAGTCGCGAGCACCAGTTTCGAGTTTCAATTTTAAAACGGTCATCTCATCCGGCATTTGTTTTAGGATGTTTGCAACTTTTTCTTCACTCATAAGTTGCTTCATCGGAACTTTCAGATGTTGTTCAAATTGATTGACGTTGGGCGAGATTTTTACCATAAAGTCCAATGACTTTACTGGGACTTTCTTTTCGGTGCATTTTGTTTTGAAAACCTTTGCAACCTTATCGAATGTGACAAGTTCAAATGAATCATTGATTCCAACGACATATTTTGCCCATGCGGTGCGTTCCTCATTGTATTCATCAAGAACCGCTTTCAAAGCACCAAGATGAATGAGTAATTTAGCTTGGTTTTCAGTTACTGTGGTCATATGTAACCGGGCTTGTTCAATAATTTTTTGTGCGGCTTCAGAGTTGGTTCCGTGAAGTTTGTCGAATTCTGTGTTTGCTGAATTCATGCCATGTTCAATATTCGATTTGACTTTCTCAGCTTCGGCCATTTCATTTTCGAATGTGGCATGCAATTGACTGAAGTATGCTTGCATAGCATCAATACTACCTGCAGCCTTTTTCAAATGATCGACTTTCGTATTTTTATCAGCGGCCCAATGGTTGAATGCTGTTTTAAAGTCTTCACTGTGCGGCGCAAAGGCAAGTGCAGCAGCAACTTCATGATTCAATTTTTCAATTGATGCTTGTTCATTATTAACCCAATCGATTACACTGTGAACAAAGTCACGAGCACCAGTTTCGAGTTTCAATTTTAAAACTGTCATTTCATCTGGCATTTGTTTTAGGATGTTTGTAACTTTTTCTTCGCTCATGAATTGCTTGGCAGGTGCTTTCAAATTTTGTTCAACTTGATCAACGTTCGACGCGATTTTTACCATGAAATCCAATGATTTCACTGGAACTTTCTTTTCGGTGCATTTGGCATTGAAAACATTAACCACATTACCGAAAGTTGCGTCTTCACCGTTAATCACCTTGATCGATAAGAATTATAGAAAAAAATAATTAATTTTTTTTGCACATAACAAACTTATTGAAAGTTTAAAGAAATCCAAATATTTATTTATTTCTCTAATTAAAATATATTTTATACCTGAATGAATGCGGCAAGCGATAAGATCGAAAGAACAAAGATCGGCTTCATTTTAAGTCTCAAAAGAGTTTTGTATACAATAGAACTGTACACGCAATGATGATCTAAAAATTTTCATCAACCCCTTTTATACACAATTTTGGAATGAAAGTTCCACGCGGCTGAAAGAAGAATGTAAAGAATTATTTTCATTATCTTAATAAGTTGTTATAGAAACGGTTTACCAACGCATGGAATCATTTGAGGTATTTTATTATAGTCGATCGATTTTACACGCGCCGAATTCTCGACAACCATGGAGCCTCGTATTCGATTGGTATCGAGAACAAATTGTGTATGGTTTTTTTTCTCAATATTTTCAAAACACATTCCTCGACTTTTCTTAATTCTTCTATTCAGTATGTTAATGTTTCGCAGGAATATGTTTGCACACGTTTATAAATAATGAGGTTAGTAACATTGGCTTCTCAACTGACGGTTTTTTCCGCTTGCTCAACACGAAAATTGGTGTTCTGTTAATTAAATGTTTCACTATCCAAAATGATGAATTTTCCAGTGCAACATGCTATAAGGCGAAGTGGGTACCCAATTTTTGACACTATTTGGAATTTTTTTCGTAAATTATTTTGCTGATTACTAATGATCGTGTCTAAATCTATCGTTTTGGTTCAAATTTGGATGTGCTGTAACCATAAAAATCACCAAAAAATGAATTTTGCTTGACCAATCGATGACAGTTTTGAAAGGCTTGAGCACTCAGAATGGGAGAACGATCAGACTTTTTGCTTTTTCTAGAATCTTTACATTCATATTAAATCCATGAAACACGATACATGGTTCGCAGACAGATTGGTCCATATTTAGACACATGCAGAATTTGTTTTGAACTTAGCCGCCAAAACCATTTGAGACACTTTTTCGTAAATCCAATTTGTACGCCATCGCGAATGGAAATTTTTGTGCAAATTGTGCTTGACAGTAGAGTGGGAGTCCTTGTAAGTCTTGACATTTTTTATTTTGTTTATGTAGCGTAATAAACGCCTGAATTTAGTCTCAAAACTTTCTTTACAATTATTATCAGCAATAAAAATTCAAAAAATATCTTTGAGTTTTATTTTGGCTAGTTGACCGGCAAATTGAAGTGCCCCGAAATTTGAACCTCAAATATTATCCAAACGAGTAAGCTACAATTGAGTACATTTTTGGTACAATTATTTAAACCTAGTCCCAAGTTTCGACTTTCACATGTGCGGACATTCGACGATATATCCCGCCAAAACCATTTGACACTTTTTCGTAAATCCAATTTGTACGCCATCGCGAATGGATGTATTTCGTCGAATTGCTTATTTCGTTATTTTGGTATTTGTTATTGCAGTGTAATAAACGCTGTAAGTTGTGCCAATTTGAGTGGGACATATGTTATATAGTCCATGTGTAATGTTAACGGTAAGTATAAAAGAAACTAGAACCATTCCATTTTAATTGAAATAACGGTTTTTGTTGATTATGATTCAATATTTATTGTGTGTAGATTACCAACGTTTTACCGTTTTATATTTAAAGAAATGATAAATGAGTTCTGCCCATGAATAAAATAAAAATGGACAGAAGCCCGTCAATACACATTCTATGTTGTTTGATTATAATCTTTATGGAATTAAAAATCTATGCTGTCGAATATAGTTTGAAGTTGAATAATTGATGCCTTATCTGTCGCTAAAGGTCCACCTCCATTGTAATATTTCGAATGGTGGGTATTATTTATGTATAAGAAGTACAATGTGTTGATTTTTGAATAGATTTCAGAAAGTTCTTAAACATAAATAAAGTGAATAAACTTAAATGTTAGTAAATTGTAATTTCGCATACAATAAAATCAAAATCCATCAAATATACACTGTATATTGTCTAATCATCGAATTTAGTCACTTTGTTTGATGACTGTGCTGAACTGTCTTTGTTGAATTTATTGAAGCCACCTCCACTTTTGTTGAATCCACCTTTGTTTCCTCCTTTGTTGAAACCGCCTTTGTTAAAGCCTCCCTTATTAAACCCGCCTTTGTTAAAGCCTCCCTTGTCACCCTGTCGTTGTGGACATTGATTTGAAATGTGTCCCTGAGTACGAATTAAAGAAAACAAATAACAAATTTAGTATATTGCTTACATACATTTTTCATGTTTTGATGACAATAAAGTCAACATGATGGAAATACAAAGTTTGAAAGCTTACCTTTTCTTTACATACGAAGCAGTCGGCAAAACTGAATTTATCGCCTTCTTGTGTGCATTGTCTGTATGTGTGTTCTTCGGAACCGCATTTTAAGCAAGCTTTATTCTTTTGGCTAGTTGGACAATCACGAAGAGTGTGGCCTGGTTTACGGCATCCAAAACAGGCTTTATCATCAGTGGATTTATTGGGGCATTCACGTGACATATGACCTTCTTCGCCGCATTTAAAGCAATTGCCTGGACCTTTTTTCTGTGGGCATTCGCGTGAAAAGTGACCGGTCTCATTGCAATTGTAGCAAGTGCTGTTACTATTGCCGCCACCTTGTCTCTTTTGTGGACATTCACGTGACATATGGCCTTCTTCATTGCAATTGAAACATTTACCTGGCCCTTTTTTCGTTGGACACTCGCGTGACATGTGCCCAGTCTCATTGCAATTGTAGCAAGTCATCGGTTGACGATTTCCATCACCACCTTTGCCGAATTTATTCTGTGGTGCACTTTCATTGTTGTCATTTCCCTTGCGTTTTCCGCCGCTCTTTCCGAATGGGTTGTCATTTTTCGGTGCTTGCTGTTGTTTGGCTGGCTTCTTTTGGATTGGCTCCTCTTCAACTGCTTCATCATCATCGTCTGATTCATCATCTTCGGATTCTTCTTTTGCTGCTGGTTTTTTAGTGGCTGGTGCTGATTTCTTATTGACAACAGCTTTTATAGGAGATTCTTCCTCATCATCATCACTGCTGTCTTCTTCGCTGCTTTCTTCTTGTTTTGGAGCCACAGCTTTTTTACCTAAAAACAATAAGTACAAAATTGAAAATGTTGAAAGACATAACAGGAATTGTACATAAATTGTCATCAATGAAGTGAACGAAGATTCAAAAATCGAAAAGAAAATATTTTGAAAAAAACATGCTCTGTGCATAAAACAGTAGAGAAACGTGTGTTGCACAAAAATAAATTGAAGTTCTGCAACAAAAACCAATTTAAAAGTGAACAATTTTGAAAAATCGAGGAAAAAAATACACAATGTCAAGTGAAATGCATTGTTGTATGGAACGAAAATGCAGTGACCTAAATTATGCGGAAATATACTTGACGTGTAATTTTTGTGCAGGAAAAGTGTATATTCAATGCAAAAAAGAAAAACATTCAGCGTTTAATGATCTTTTAATGAAATATGACGTGAAAAAATGATTATACATTATATGAACCAATTAATTACATGCTTACTACTTTCAATGAATTCTATTGCAAAACATTAAGAAACGGTGATGTTAAGTTAATTGATTTGAATGTAAATCCTAATACAATTAAGCTAAGAATTGAAAATTATTTAAAACAGAATGGAGAATAATTGAGAAATTGCCAAAAATGAAATTTAAAATTGTATATACAATTTATTTATTTATTTAAATGATGAAAACTGTCGGTGCAGTCATTATTATTATTATTATTATTATTATTATTATTAATTATATTTCTATGCCAAGGTTTGAACATATTTTTTGGTCTCGAACTTTACGCCGCTTGAAAGGCTTTAAAAATCGAACAAATATTATTTTGAACTTGCTTAATAAAATACGCAACCACCACCGTGCGGAAAAGTTCGTCTTACTCCCGTAAGACTCTTTATTCATCTTGACATCTACATTGCTCTAATTTGCTTTGCAATTGTTCTACTTCGCCTTGCAAATTTACAACTTTGCCTTGCAAATTTACCACTTTGGCTTTATAACGTGTAAGACAACGTTTCAAATTAGCCATGGTCTTCCTCAACGACCGGACCCACCTTTCCAATAATTTCTCGCGTTGACGTGTCACCAGCCTGCGGCCGTCAACATAAAATAAAAATTTCCGCCGTGACATATAAGCGGGTGCTCGAATGACAGGTGGTGGCGGCTGCACCTGCTCATCCACAGGCGTTAATGGTGCATCAACACAGTCACCGTATTTGGAACATTTACCTAGCCCTTTTTTCGTTGGACACTCGCTGGACATACGCCCAGTCTCATTGCAATTGTAGCAAGTCATCGGTTGACGATTTCCATCACCACCTTTGCCGAATTTATTCTGTGGTGCACTTTCATTGTTGTCATTTCCCTTGCGTTTTCCGCCGTTCTTTCCGAATGGGTTGTCATTTTTCGGTGCTTGCTGTTGTTTGGCTGGCTTCTTTTGGATTGGCTCCTCTTCAACTGCTTCATCATCATCTTCGAATTCTTCTTTTGCTGCTGGCGCTGCTGGTTTTTTAGTGGCCGGCGCTGATTTCTTATTGATAACAGCTTTTACAGGAGATTCTTCCTCATCATCATCACTGCTGTCTTCTTCGCTGCTTTCTTCTTGCTTTGGAGCCACAGCTTTTTTACCCAAAGACAATAAGTACAATATTGAAAATGTTGAAAGACATAACAGGAATATTATTGAGTGAACGGAGATTCAAATAAAAAGTCTTATCAACAACTATCACTGTGCGGAAAAGTTCGTCTTACTCCCGTAGGACTCTTTATTTTGCTTTGATCTATGTGACATTTTTCGATTTTTCTCAGTTGAGGATCATAAAATTCTATGCTATTGTTCGAAAAATATTCCAATAATAATCCATCGATTGAAAGCTGATAATAAATATGCAAATATTTAACGAAGAAGAAGAAGAAGAAAAGTTTTCTTTAAATAACTAATACTATAAAAACAAGTGAAACTAGCAGCAATTAGCAGCAACTGGCACAGTACGATTAGTGTTTCTAGTGCGTGAAGTTCCCAGTAAAAAAGTTATACACATTGTATGTGAAGAAATTACTAGAATTTTTTTTTTAAATAGAAATTGTATGAATATCCCGCTGACTTATTCATTCTATTGGGCTTAGTAACTTCAATAAAGGGAATAACAGCAAACAAATTGTGTTTACTTTTCACAAAAAAGTTCAATTTCAAATGACTGATTCAAGTCAATGGTTCAAAAAGGTAGAAAAATAAATCAATAGAACAATAGAAGAACAGGTATGCAAAAATAAAACAAATGTTCATAAAAAAACAAAGCAAAAATGTTAAATACCTTTTACAACAGCAGCTTTAGGTAGTTCTTCTTCTTCTTCATCATCGTCGTCATCTTCGTCGCTATCTGATTCATCATCACTGTCATCATTTGCTACGACTGATTTGCCCTTTTGTTGTGCTGGCACGACTTTTGCCTGTTTGGCTGGTGTTGGTTTCGACTCTTCCTCATCTGAATCGGATTCCTCTTCGCTGCTGCTCTCTTCAGCAACATTAGCAGCTTTGCCCTTTTGTTTGGCTGGTATAACTTTGGCCGGTGCAACTTTAGCCGGTGCTGGTTTCTCTTCTTCATCCGAATCGGAATCTTCTTCATCGCTGCTTTCTTTTGCTTTAGCTGCAGCGGCTGATTTGCCATTTGCTTTAGCTGGTGTTACTTCAGCTTGTTTGGCTGGCGTTGGTTTCGATACTTCTTCCTCATCAGAATCAGATTCTTCTTCGCTGCTACTTTCTTCAGCTTTAACCGGTGCTTTGCCATTTGCTTTAGCTGGTGTTACTTTAACTTGCTTGGCTGGCGTTGGTTTCGATACTTCTTCCTCATCAGAATCGGATTCTTCTTCGCTGCTACTTTCTTCAGCTTTAACCGGTGCTTTGCCATTTGCCTTACCGCTTTTAATTGGTGTTGGTTTAACAGCAACTTGTTCTTCTTCTTCGCTGCTATCATCCTCACTGCTGCTGCTGCTCTCTTGTTTTTTTGGCACAATTGGAACAACCTTTTTGGATTTGGCATCCTTAAATGTATCAAATTAGGGAGAATTAATTTTGGTGTTTTTCGACAAAAACATTTTATGATTTCTTTGACGTTGATAAATTACCTTCTTATTGGGTGTTCCAATGTTTATTTGTTTCGTCTTGGCAGCCAAAACATCTTCTTTCAATGGTGTCACTTCGGATTGCTTGCGCTTATTTGCTTTAACTTTCGATACCATTTTGTAATTGTTGTCTGGAAAAATTCGAAATTAATTTAAAATAAAAAAATTGTTTAGTGTTTAGCACATAGGAATGAAGAAAGAAAATTCAAATTATGTCACAACGAAAAAAAAACGAAAAATCAATGATTTGGAAAAAAATGAGCGTCGAAAAATCACTCACGTTTTTCCTCTCACTTAAAGGTTAAGATTCGGAAAAAGAATTGTCGGCAGTAAAATGCAGCAAAAATGTATTGATTTCGATAAAAAGTCACTTTGTTGAAATGTTATTGATTCACACAATTACTTTTTGTAAAAATCCCAATGGATACGCACACCTTTTTCACAATTTTTTTCAATTTATTATGTTTCTAGTTGAAAACATGTGTGTATTCCGCTATAGATACGGAATGGAAAAGACCAACACGAGTTAATTTTTCATACGCATGGGAATTCACAACTTGATAAAACGAAAACATAAATACAACAAAAGTGTTCAACAGCTTCAACAAAATAATGAAATCAAATAGATCCGTCTCGCTTCTTCCAGTGAGTAGCCGTACGCAACTAATGAACGTTGAAAGAGATAGATATATATGCACGCTTCGGACAAAATCCGTGACACATGGTTTCGATGGGGAATTTTCAATGTTTTCAGTTTGGCAATACAACACTAGAGCTGTCAACAGTGTAAAGGACCATTTCTGTTATGTTAAGGTCTCGTTTACATAGTAATGTAAACCACACAATAGATTTTAATGAAATTGACTACAGATTTTTAATGTAAATATGTTTTTATTTTAACATTTCTCTAAATATACACATCTGTTTAAAAAAAAAAGATCAATATCATGTATTGTAATGTTGTTTTTTTTAAAACTTAAAAAATACTTCATCATTTTAAATCACCCGAATATGAAATTATAAAAAAACATATATCGCTTGATTGAATGTATTGCGTGCTAAGGTCGTTTGTAACGTAACGTACAACGAAATATGTTTTTATTTCATTTTTAGCTAATTTACTTAAAGGCTTAAAAAATTGCATATGGAATATCAGTGCTTGAGGTTGATGTACTTGATATTCTTGGTTTATTTGGATAAATGCAAACCAAAGATAATTGTGTGCCGGATAATAAGGCACCAAGAAGATTTGGAATTTGAAGGAATATGTCATTTGCAATGATGCCGAAGGCAAGCCATTGGACTGACCCGATGAATGACATCAAAATTAGCGGGATAGGCAGCATTTCGGTAGACCTTGTTCGAAATACATCTACTAACATACAACAAGGGGCTGCAAAGAATAACACTGTTATTGTACAACATACGTAACCTGTAAATAGAATAAAATGAATTTAGAATTGCAGGTTTTTTGCTAATGCCATAATTTGATATTTATGTGGATTTCGCCTTTAAAAACTCAAATTAAATTGACTCACCAACAACTTCGATCGCTTCATTTCGATTCTCTTGATAGTAATTGGTATAGGAAAGTACAAGGCCGAGCACAAGAATTGCGCCAAAAAATTGACGATAAATTGCACCGGTGTTAACCGTAAACATCCAAAACACAATAAAATAGCTAAAAAACAATGTGGCTCCAACTGCATTGACCAAAACGACGGTCATTTCATTTGCCAATGTGCCATATTTCAGCCATAAACTGCATCTGTAATATCACAAATATACCAATGATATCAAATGTGATTTAAAACGTAAACCTTTTTGACTTACGATAGGAAACCGCAGATAAATGGAAACGCAGACGAATCCCCCGTGCTCTTGTTTTGTACAAATTTTCGGCACACCAACCTGATAATGAAATTAATACATGATTAAATTACGGACTTGTGTTTGTTGTACAAAATGGCTTTTTGGAACTATCTCCGAATGTGAACTTTGATTTTTACGACAAAAAAATATACAAAGAAAGAATGATTGGTTTTTTCTACATACGCTCCTGACATGAATTGCAGAAATGTTGTGGTCACAGTCGACGCGGATAGAACGGCATTCAAAGTGATCATATTTTCCTGGTTGCGGAAAATATTTTCCAATCTGTCAAACATTGAATTTGAATTCACTTACAATTAAATAAAAACAAAACAAATAAAAACTTCACACAACAATCTTCACCAAAACAATTTCGCCCAACAACTGATCAAATTAATCACAATTCATCGAAAGCGCAGCTTCTTTGTATTTTTTATAAAATCTTCCATTCGCTCATCAATCCATATTCGTAGCCTACGTTCACTACGTGTCACATATAACAAACAATATAGCTTCTGATACACATATAAGTAAAGTCAATGGCTACGAAAATATTAAGACATTTTTCCAATACAGAATACTGTACAATCTTTCAAGTGTAAATAAAAACAAAATTGGTGAATAAAAGAGATGCGAACGTAGTCGACGATGTGTTGAAATTACAAAATGTCACATTTGACAGGTGTACACACACAAAAATCGTAGTTTCAAAAAAATGATATGCACTCGGTAAATTTACAACAACAAAAAAACACGATATAAACGTAATTATATGAATGAAATGAAAATTAATTTGTTTATTTAAAAACCGATGAGAACATTCTCTACATATATTGTATACACATATTTTGTCATCGAAAACTCTGTTATAAGAAATTGCAGATAATAGACCCGCTTATAGTCTCTTAAATTTGAGCATAGAATACATTTAAAGCAATTTGATTTAAACTTATATTTCTAGAGAAATAACATGGAAAATATATTGATTTCAAGTGGACAAAGGGAAGAATTGTTGTTACACACGAGATCTATCTATCATCGTGTTTAGTGAATAGTTGCGATACATTCCGCTTTTCGCTAACAATTTCGAGAATTCATTTGAGCGAGGATAGTAACTGAAAATCCAAATCAAATATTAATAGCGATTCGAAAAAAAACAATCATATTTCATACCTATGAGGTACTGTGTGAGGATTCGGAGGTATCCAGCCATACTCTGAATTGGTCGTTTGAAATACTGGATGATATGTTTTGTATTGGCTGCCATATCCATTCAATGTAGCTAAAATAAAGTGATGACATGACTTCACCTCATTTAGAGTTAAATAAACAAACAGAATACTCACAGGAACGTTCAAAACGGTCGGGAATATTAAGCGTTCGATATAAATCCGATGTGTTGACATTACGTTCATATTGCTGGCTAGTGTTAGTTTCGAACTTTGGAATACATTTTTCCGAATAAGCATCTGGATTGTTATCGCGATCAAAACGATTGTTATACGATTCAGTTGGGATACACTCTTTTCGATCGGACCTTTTCAGACGATTTGCAAGATTCTCGCAGCCAAGACAAGTGCAACCTCCGACCATTTTCGTTAATTGTTACCACAAATTCGATTTTGCTTTACTTTGTCAGATAAAACTGCAATTTGTAAAAAAGAAACATGTTTACACCGTTTCCATAGCAATGCGATAATAACTGGGTTTAATTGATAAACATAGTTTCGGTTTGACATTTCGTTTGCAATTTGTTGGCCGCATGGTTTCAATGTCGAATGTCAAAGCACAATACTGATCGAGATACCAATAACAATGTATAGCATATAACATATTCAAAATTGAACCGTTTGAACCGATGGATTGTGCGAATGATGAGACAAATCATGATAATGAAATCGTCTGTGTATGCATAAGCTGTCGCTTTGCATTGCTTTTCAATTGCTAACTGATAACATGTACAGATTAAACGTTTTTGTTAATATTAATTGCGGAAAAATTATCGGTAGCTCATGTAAAATTCTCAATTCGAACGATGAATTATTACAAATTGCGTTGAGCTGCCATAGAGTAAGGTTCAAATTTCGATCAGCTTCGCTGTTGTTGAATTGAAACGTGTTTCTTGTAATTTTTTCTTGTAATTTAAATTTGACAACGGAATATATTCCAAATGCAACGAATCACAGTATTAAAAAAAATATCGGCGTTGCCGACGATTCAACGTCGCGCTTACTATGATAATGTACAAAAACGATTTTTGGCAACGGTCAAAGAAGTATTCCCCCACAAAACGGACTTTCCATCACGACACATTGGACCGAGGAAAACTGAAGTTGTTGCTATGTTGGATTACATCGGATACAAGGTATGTAACATTAACTTTTTCATTGAATTTATTAATTTAGAGATAGAAATTATTCCCAGTTTTTTCCGCTGCATTTAAGTTTGTTTTTCGACAAATTAACGTAATCATCTCATTCACAGTCACTAGATGAGCTAACTGATAAAGCGGTGCCGAAGCATATTCAACTACGACGGGATCTAAAACTCGACGAACCATTTGGTAAGTGATGAAAAAACTTCGTAGTATTTCAACATTCTGCAATATTTTGATGTTGTTTTTTCGGCCAATGTTGTTGTTGTTTTTCCATTTTCAAAAATATTGACATTATAAGTAGAAAATATTTACGGCCAATTGATGTCAGAGATTATCAATGACCACCGCGTAATATAAATAGGGTCATTATGTACTAGACCCCCAACGAAATTGATTAAGAGTAAATATTTCGATGAAAAACAACAACATTTCATAAATAGCACAAGCATGTGAGACGATAGTGCCATGATTACGGACATGGAAACAATAACATCAACATATTTTCGCATTTGCCTCCGATTTTTTCCATGCTTGTAATCAAAAATCTTTTTGGCCGATATAAATCGAATAGTTTTGCCAATATGTCTTGTGTAAAGTCAAAAAAAATAAAATTTCAACTTTAAGTTGGCCCATAGTTTTGCCAGCTCGTCTAATTGATAAAGAGCTAGCTAGGAAATGATTGCGATTCGTGCGTGATTGAAAATATGTCATTGATTTTAATTGTTTGTTTTTTTCTTCTTACTTTCGTTTTCTTCTTTGTGATTAGATGAACACGAGTTGATAGCCAGAGCTCGTGAAATTGCACAGAGTAATAAAATATGGAGAAGTTACATTGGGATGGGCTATCATAATTGCTATGTACCACACACAATCATGCGAAATATATTTGAAAATCCAGGATGGTATGTGCACAACATACAACTGTTCAACATTTTTCTATTGAATTTTTATTTAATCATAGGACTACGCAGTACACCCCTTATCAACCGGAAATCTCACAAGGTCGTCTCGAATCTTTATTGAATTATCAAACGATGGTATCAGAGATAACTGGTTTGGATATTGCAAATGCATCTCTGCTCGACGAAGGTACGGCCGCTGCTGAAGCAATGACATTGTGTACGCGTCACAATAAGCGTAAGAAATTGTACATTTCGGATCGCATTCATCCGCAAACATTGGAGTGCATTCGTACGCGTACTGATGCCCTGGGATTGGAATTGGTCGTTGGCCCAATTGACCAATGCAATTTTGAGAGTCGTGAAATTTCGGGCATTTTGATTCAATATCCAGATACATGCGGTAATGTGGAAGATTATACTGAGATCGCGAAGAATGCGAAAAAGAACGGAGTAAGTTGTAAAATATTGTTGCGATAAAGGAAGAATTTATGAAAATCTATTCAAATCATTTAGACATTGGTGGCAGTGGCTACGGATCTGATGGCATTGACTATTCTACGGCCACCGGGTGAATTTGGTGCCGACATTGCCATTGGTAATTCGCAGAGGTTCGGTGTTCCTCTGGGATACGGGGGTCCACATGCAGGTAATACAGTTTAAGAGCCGTATTTTAATTATTATCAAGCAAATTGACACGTTTTTCTAAATTGAAATCTCGCATTTTGTTTAGCTTTCTTTGCATGCAAACAGAATTTGGTGCGATTAATGCCAGGCCGGATGGTTGGTGTAGCTCGTGATCAGGATGGCTTCGATGCATATCGCTTAGCATTGCAGACACGTGAACAACATATTCGCCGTGACAAAGCCACAAGTAACATTTGTACGGCTCAAGCTCTATTGGCCAACATGTATGTGCACAGTTGAAAATACGTTTCTGTTCAACATATTTAATCAATTTTGCATTCGTTTATTCACAGGTCTGCCATGTATGCTGTATACCATGGTCATGATGGATTGAAAGAAATTGCAAATAAAATCCATGATTCAGCGCTCACATTGAATTATGGTTTGACTACTGCCGGTCACAAGTCATTGAATCATGTATTCTTTGATACGCTTCACATAAAGCCGATCAATCTAACAGTTGATGAGATAAAATCAGCCGCCGAGAAAAAAGAAATTAATTTGAGATACTTTGATGATGGCACCATTGGTATTGCGCTTGACGAAACTGTGAAACCAGCCGACGTTGAAGATCTATTGGAGATTTTCCGTTGTAAAAATTTAAAAAGAGTTCTCGATTCGTACGATGCAAGCCAAGACAGTGTTTCAAAATCAAGTTTTAGACGGACATCAGCATTTTTAACACATCCAGTGTTCAGTAGTCATCACAGTGAGACTAGAATGGTTCGTTATATGAAAAAATTGGAAAACAAAGACATTTCATTGGTCCATTCTATGATTCCTCTTGGTTCTTGTACAATGAAATTGAATTCAACCACCGAGATGCTTCCATGTTCCGATCGTCACTTCACCGAAATCCATCCATTCGCACCAAATTCACAAACTAAAGGCTATCAAACATTGTTCCGCGAATTGGAGAAAGACTTATGCGAAATTACTGGTTATGATTACATTTCATTGCAACCGAATAGTGGGGCACAAGGTGAATATGCCGGTTTGAGAGCCATTCGAGCATATCATGAAGCACGAAATGAGGCCCATCGTAATGTGTGTTTGATTCCAATCAGTGCACATGGAACAAATCCAGCATCAGCCCAAATGGCTGGAATGAAAATCGAAGCAATTCGCGTCAGTCCATCGAATGGAAATATCGATATGGAGCACTTGAAGGAAAAAGTTAACGAACATAAGAACGATCTTTCATGCCTCATGATTACGTATCCATCAACAAATGGAATTTTTGATGAAACTGTTATCGATATTTGCGATTTGATTCATAAACATGGCGGTCAAGTTTATTTGGATGGTAAGTAAATACACTTATGACACCGTTTTTTTTTTGTAGAAGTTATTAAGTTCAAATATCTTATTTCACATAGGTGCCAATATGAACGCACAAGTTGGTTTGTGTCGACCAGGTGACTTTGGCAGCGATGTTTCACACTTGGTGAGTATCTTATTCAATAATAGCAAATCATTTTCTTAATCTTTTGTATCCTTTACATTTTAATTTCCAGAATCTGCATAAAACATTCTGTATTCCACATGGTGGAGGTATGTATTCAATTTACTTGTAGATTATTTCCATCCATAATCGATCCAAATCGATCATTATTCATCTACGTCAAATCCAGGTGGTCCAGGCATGGGTCCAATCGGTGTAAAACGTCATTTAGCTCCATACCTGCCAACTCATCCAGTCATTGATCCTTACGATCATTTGGATGTGCCAAACAAAAGTTATGGTGTCGTTAGTGCGGCTCCGTATGGAAGCGCGGCAATTTTACCAATATCATGGGCATACATTAAAATGATGGGCACTCGTGGTTTGAAACGGGCCACTCAAATTGCAATTCTCAATGCAAATTACATGTCAAAACGTTTGGGTGAACACTATCGAACTCTGTTCCGAGACAATGGTGATGGTTTGGTTGCGCATGAGTTTATCATTGATATTCGTGATTTTAAGAAAACGGCAAACATCGAAGCCATTGATGTGGCTAAACGTTTAATGGATTATGGTTTCCATTCACCGACCATGTCATGGTAAGAACAAAGTTATTAAAATAGTAGAAAATGCGAACTTCGAAATGTTCAACTCATGATTTTTACAGGCCGGTGGCTGGTACATTGATGGTCGAACCAACTGAATCGGAAGATAAACTTGAGCTCGATCGTTTTTGCGATTCAATGATATCGATTCGTGAGGAGATTCGTCAAATTGAAGAAGGACAATTGGACAAAGCAGTTAATCCATTGAAAATGGCACCACATACTCAAGCTCAAGTCATTTCAAACGACTGGAATCGACCGTATACAAGACAACAAGCTGCATTCCCAGCGGTACAGAAATTGTTTTTTTTTCACTCGAATTATAGAAAATAATGATTTTTCCATGTAAAATTTATTACAGTCATTCGTGAAACCCGATGCAAAAATTTGGCCCACCGTTGGAAGGATTGATGACGTTTTTGGCGATAAACACCTGATTTGCACATGCCCGCCTATCTTACCTGACTTTAATGTCGATTAAGTCGCAACGCTTGCTCTTCTACAATTCATACCTTACAAATTACGTTAATTAATATTTTTAAAAAATCTGAAATAATTTTTTAAAATAAAATCAATTTTTTTACACAATATTTGTGAATTTCATTCGAAATTCCATTTTAAAATAATGGAACATTAACAATTGTTAACGATTTTTATGCAAAAAATTAAGTTCAAATCTTCTTCATCTTTAAGTAAATTTACGCACTTAAGTAATGATCAAAGTATATTTTGACATTTGATTGTGGATTTTTTTCACTATTCATGTTGATTCATGTCGCTACTTGTGTGAATTTGTAATTCAATTGTTGCCTTTTGATCATCTATTTTTCAGTTGTAGTTTAGTTGTTCAGTTTAACAAAATGCTTTTTGCATCAAGCAGAGAAGAAGCAAAAAATCAACGAGACCATATTCTGATCGAACTTTATCACAACAAAGATGAAACGGGCGACGTGACTTTTATCGTGGAATCCAAACGAATTCGTGCTCACCGATGTGTATTGGCGTCAATCAGTCCAAAATACAAGGCTCAATTTTATGGGCCCCAACCAGACAAAGACGACATCATTGTGAAAGATATATCAGCAGATGAATTCGATACATTCTTGCAGTATTTCTACGTAGGCGATGTTGCGCTGACAGCCGAAAACATCGACAGCATTTTGAGCTTTTCCAAACAAACACTTGTCGATGGTTTTGAAAGAGAATGCGTTTCTTTTCTAACGAAACAAATAAAGAGAAAGGAAAACTTGTGGCAGTATTATCAATTGATTACTTTATATGATATTGAAGAAGTGAAAGACCTCGTTCATTGCTACATCGCCGCAAATATCAAGGAAATGTTCAAACAATGTGATGACTTTTTTAACTATTGTGACCGTGCAATGCTGAAAGAAATTTTGAAAATGGACTGTTTGAACTGCAAAGAGTCTGACCTTTTCGATGCTTGTATTGTTTGGGCGAAAGCGGAATGTCGCCTGAAGAATGTCGATGCAGAAAAAATAGAAAACTTACGGGCTGAGTTGGGTGATGCTGTCGAGGAAATTCGCTTCCGATCGATGACACTCGAAGAATTCGTTCAATTGAATAGTCTGTATGATGGATTTTTCACACCAGATGAAATGAAGGAAATAACATACATAATTGGTAGCTTAAAGAACTTCAAACCGAGCAAATTCAGTGTGGCGCTTCGAAATGAAGAGTCACAACTAAGCCGAATGAGCATTTCATTCGAAGAGGCATCAAGTATAGCGGTTAAAGGTTCGGCCGTTAAAAAGTATGTCCCGTTACTTACTGATTTATTTCCATTTTTACCATCCTTTTCTTCTGATCAACCTAGGTATGTCCCAGTACTTGTACATTCGGTACTTAATAAGAATGGTTGTCTTCAAAATGTGTCCACACTTCATCACAACATTACTGCTATGAAAGTGTATGACGAAATGTCTGTTGAAGAACTGCGTTTCGAGGATTATGAAGCAAATAGAAAAGGACCACAAGGTTTATTTGAAAAAAACAACGAAAAATAGGAGAACTTAGCCATCCGGCCACAATGCAGCCATACGCCTATTTTCGATGTTAGCAGCCGGCTGGCTGATTCACAGTAGTCATCAATCTACGCATTATTCTTTAAATTTTTATATTTTATTACGTTGAAAGCAGTTGAAAGTAATTTATTAAATTTATTTATAAGAATTATTAAAGACAACTTGGATTAAAATTGGCGTTTCATTTTACCAGGCGTGTATTTGGTTATCTATCTATGTAAAATTCATGTGAATCGTTCAACACAGCTGTGTAAAGTGCATTGAACCAAGTAATTCACAAGACAAGTTTTAGTTTGACAATATTTTTGCGATGCAATGATATCAATTTGTGATGAAATTCGTCAACATAATGAAAGTAACTTAGATAACGCCGGTAATTCCATTTAAAAAGGCATCACATTTCAAAAGAGCCTCATATTGCATGAAGTTGGTTAATTTTAGTTGACGAACATGAAGTTGATTCGATGTTGCCTACGATAACAAGTCAATACACAGATGCACAAACAAACACATAAAATGAGCCTATTCAGTAGTAGCAAGAGTCAGAGAGAGTATTATATGGCACAACAGAGTACAATCGACGTGTAGGAAAGAAGAAAAAAATATAGATAGAGCAAATCGAATAGTACAGCCTAATTGAATTTAGTTTTTAAAAATTTGTGTGGTTTGTTTTTCGTTTTATCCGTGCACAAAGTGGTAGTTGTTCAGTGTGTGTGTATGAACAGTGAATATAACTATCAATTTGTTACAAATTGGTTTCATTTGGAGTAATTCGTGTTTTATATTTTGGGTGGAAACGGCGAGAAGAGAAAATATCAAGTCACGGTTAAATTCACTCATTTAACATTGGAATTCTATTCAATGCAAGCGAATTGTTTGTGTACAACAAGTGCAATTGATTGAATAAATTAGAAGAAAAGTATTTCGTTTCGATCTAATCGAAACATTTGAATCAGTTCGTGTGTGTGTGAGAGAAACAGAGAAAAGAAAAGTTGCAACATAATGACCAGCAGTCGTAAAGAGAGTGAGCGTACAAAATTCATACAAGAAAAATGTCAAACTCTATTGTCATTAATGCTACGTGATGAGGACAATAAATACTGTGTGGATTGTGATGCGAAAGGTAAAAATCCTAGTTACTACTTGGTCATATAAAAGTCGGGTTTGATGCGACACTTGATACACAAGATTCCTGTTTTTTTTACAATTCTCATACATACTCATAATTCTTATCAAAATTGTTGGACGATGACGTTTCACAGTACACCGCCCCTTTTATATCCTCCATTCTGTATATGTCGAATCGATTTACCAATAAATTGCCTGAAATAATGAGGCAGTTAACTGATATCGCTTACTTGACTGCAGCGTACCACTAATAAATACCCAATTGAACTTCAAATTGATTTTTTATGTTGATTTTATGCGTGTATTTTGCTTGAACTCTCTCAATTGAATGACCCATAAGATTTTAATTATTATTATCACATTCAATTTGTTAAAAAAAAATGTTGTTGTTTTTTTAATTGTGCTATTAGGTCCTAGGTGGGCATCATGGAATCTTGGTGTCTTTTTGTGTATTCGTTGCGCTGGTATTCATCGAAATTTAGGTGTTCACATATCGCGCGTAAAATCTGTGAATTTAGATACATGGACACCAGAACAAGTTGTGTCCCTGCAACAAATGGGCAATTCACGAGCTCGTGCTGTTTACGAAGCACAAATGCCCGACAGTTTTCGACGGCCCCAAACTGATTCAGCACTGGAAACATTTATTCGTGCAAAATACGAGCAAAAGAAGTATGTAGCACGTGAGTGGGTTCAACCACCACCGGTAAAAGTCAATTGGGACAAAGAGATCGACGAAGAAATGGAAAAACAAAAGCGTAAAAAGAAGGGATTACCGATAACAACAACAACATCAACAAATGGCAAATTGGATACACCAAAATCAACGCCATCATTTAAATCGACTCCAATTCCTGCACCTTTGCCCAAACCAACGGTAAAACATTCAAAAATTCTACATGATCTAAAGATTTATAAAATTTTCAATTTTAGGCCAATTCAAGTAGTCCAAAAACATCATCACGTTCTACACCAAACAGTACAAATGCATCGATAAATGCTGATAAAAGTGTGAACGACGTTAAATCGTACAGTTCCGATTTGCTTGGATTGTCAACACCTGTGAATGGACCCCCATTATCGTCATCAAACGAAACAAAGCCGGCTGCTGATAATTCAAATGATATTTTTGGCTATTTTATGAGTGAAACGACAGCAAATGGAAAAACCACATCTACGGTGCCATCAATAAATACCAATTCAACGAAAATTGAGTCAACGTTAGCACAACAAGAGCATGATTTTTTCAATCAAGTACCGAACGAAAAGGAAAAGGCCAAAATGACAAAGGATAGTATTTTGGCATTGTATGGTGCAGCACCAACAATACCACAGCAAACAAATCAATTTATGCCAGGAATGCAATCGATGAACGCAACCGACAATGGATCTCTATTCGGTATGCAAATGCCGTACCAACAACAGCAACAACAACCAGCTTTTGGCATGGCACCGGCCAGTGGTTTGAATAATTTTGCACAATTCGGAATGATGCAACAAGGCGGTCAACCGCAAATGAATTTCCAAAATTCAATGATATTGCCAGCAACGACAAATCAATCAATGGGCTTCTCGAATGTACCTCAAATCAATCCGTCGCTACAATCATTCCAGCAAGGAAATGCCGCGACCAAGACCAATTCATTTCCAAATGCGCCAAATGCTAATGTCAATCAACAATTCGGCAATTTAAATTTGGGAAACGTTTGGCAATAGGTATTTAGATCATTGTGATTAAATTCGACTATACACAAAAGTTTGAAAGCGGAAAAACAATTTCTTTCCACAAATTAGGAATTAAAGTTAGGTGACAGCAGAGATGAAAAACTAATAATATTGTTAGAGAAAAATGTATACACAATACAACTACAAATGATTTGAATGAGCCGATGTACGAATTTATGAGGCGATATGAGAAAGAAGTTAGAGTAAAGAGATACAGACATGTTGTGAGAACGGTGCAATTTGAAAATGTTAACTATTATTTTCGTAGCAAGCACTTTTAAACTTATATAGACTAAAAACAAAACATTCTACAAAAGATCAATCAATTTTTATTTCTTTGTTCTTCGGTGAAGTAATTTCAATTGATAGAACATAAAAATAACAATCAACATCACAAAACCTGGAACCAAAAACAAAACATTTTCGATCATATGAAAATCTAAAACAAAAACTGATTTGAAATTTAACAAAGAAAAACAAAAAATGTGAACTATTTTAATGCTCATGTGAAACTAAGAAAAGTTTATTCACTTAAATCGGTGCTTAACAAAACCTACTATCAATTGAAGTGGACCATGTGATTGAATATACGATACCTTTCAAAGATCGCATACATTTTGCAAAGAAGACCACAAAAAATTATGTTCAATCACATCAAAGTTGATCAAACTACTACTGGTATTTCGTAACAATGTATTGAGTTGTATGTAACCTTTTTGCTCCTCAAAAAATCATGAACCCTGAACCTGATGAATAACATAATCTACCTTTTGAAAAGAAATACATTTCAAATAAAAATCAACATGTACATAATTATTTTCCTACAATTATTTAGCAAACAAAAAACAAAAATACCAACTTACAAACTGGCTACATTTGATCCTCTTTATCTAAGTACAGTATATAGTTTATAGCTACACTAATATTTGTGCTATATTTAAAACTAGATCAGATATAATGGAGAAAAACAGGAACAGCATATATTGTAAACGCATGTGGTATCAGCGGCTCAGTGTTCAGGTTTAAAAACAATATAATGAAGAAATCGATGCAAACTATTAGTAACCAATCAATAGGAAACGAAAATTGTGGTGATAATATACACCCGGAAAAAAGTAGGAGATAAAAAAAACCGTATTTTATGGAAAATCACTTGGACATTTTGAATGTCTTTTGTAATTCGTTGAATTAAACGACTCTTTATTTTTAAACAAAAGCCACCGTTTTTCGATGATTTTTTCGTTCATCAATATTTTTACCCAAATTGAGAGCTACGATCGCGCCTCTATTTAATTAAAAACGAAAAAAAAAACATTTCTATAATTTACTGTGACATTTAATTTCATTCTTTTTTAAGACTAATTTTAGAGAATTATTAGTACTGATGATGTGAAAAATGACATTTTTTTTCATCCTATAAAAACTGAAAATTAAGTGGCGCACAACATATAAGAAAACAACGAGAAATATGAAAATAAATTAGTTTCGACTTTATTTTCGAAATTATCCCACTTAAATAGAAATACATTCTGGCAATTTTCGTTTATAATAATTTCCATTGGCATTATAGTTATTTTTTATTCAATTTTCTAAAATATTGCGATTTTTTTTTTGTAATTTTTTGAATGAACTGTTTTATTTCCAATCAAAGATTGAATATTTTTAGTTGCAATTTAACTTCAAAAACGAATTACATTTTAGGAAAATACAAGTTAACGAATCCTTATTTAAAAAAAAAAACAACGTGTTGGACGCTAATTGTTAAGTAAATTATACTGCACTTTATGTATGATGAAATGCTACTTAATAAATAAAACAAAACATTTGAACGAATTCTGATGATTTTTTACTTTCTTTTTAAAATAATGAGATAAGATGAGAAAAGATAATTTGTGTGGCATTTAAAAAACATGCACTTAACAGTAATTAAATACAGCGTGTGTAGAGTGGTGAAGAGTATATGAGCGAATTTGACAGAATGATTCAACATAACCTCAAATACATGTGTCAAAACAAAACACACGACTTTTAATTGACACCGAAATCTATTCATTCTATTTACAAGTTGTGCATAAAAATGGATGGAATTTGTATGGTAAAATCTGAGTAAGTGATTTAACAATGAAAAAATTAGTGAAATTAAATGAATATTATTCAAAAATCAAATCAAATGGTTTAGGTTCATCATACCAAAGAGTGTAAAAAATATCGAAACGCCGGAGACAAACACATGTGATGATAAAAATAAAATCGGCTCAACATCTGAGAATGGTGCTGGAGGTGAGAATGGTGCTGAGAATGGACCGCCGCTGAAAAAGAAACGTCTTAGCAATAGAGAATACAAAAAATTGAAGAAAGGACAAAATAAGGTGAGAATCAAGGGCACTCACATTTCATCCGCATCATGTACCACTGATTTTTCAACTACATCACATTCGAATCATTTTGAATCTCATTATTTTTCAGGCCCGTCCAGTGCCGTTCAAAGTGAATAAAGAGGCAAATATTTGTAGTACACTTTACAATGGACCGACTAATGCCAAAGAGTGTACATATGAAA